GGTCTGCATGTGGGATTGTTTTTCTTTGTTTAACCTTTTCCTTTATTTTTAAACGATCTACTTGTTTATAAATGGCTTTATTTTGTGATTAACTTACTTCGGTACTGGATTGCTGTATCAGAGTTCTGAATGTCTCCGGTTGTTTGCACACAGATAACTGCAAAGAGGTTGTCATTACTGGTTACACGCAAGCAGAAGCCAGATCTCTTTCTTAATGGCTTGGGGAAGGCACAAAACATGCAAGAAAGGTAAACGCCATCCAGACTTGCAATTTTAAGCTAGCAAGTGCTGCTTGGTACTGTAGTCATTTCTCTACCCCAGGGTTCTTCAACGTGTTCAGAGGCTGAGTACCAAGTAAAATTGAGAAGATTATTTGGGGGCTTTTTTGTACCACTGTAAGAGGGTAGTAGTTCTCAAGTTGGGCTTTTGACCAGCCTTATACCTCTGGCTCATGAGCTTCAAAAATTTCTTCAGTCGATGTTTTTTGAGGTGCTTTGTCCTATATGTTGTTTGTCTGTCTGTTTTGCAACCTGTCTACTGTATTCTCCATCTGTCTCCATAAAGCACAGAGATACTGTTAAAATGCCCCCCTCTTTTAAGGTTAACTAAGGACATTTTTCTCCTTTTCTCTTTTTTTCATATGGACTATACTTATGTGTATAGATACAAATATATATATTTTTCAAGTGCAAGTTAGTATCGTCTAAACTAACTCATGTGAGCACTCTGAAGATTTTTCGAGTGGGATTTAATAGCGGCTTTACAGTACTGACCGGTTGCCTATTGCATCAATCTTCCTCCTAGCAACCAGCATTCATTACTATTTTGAAACTGTGTCTCCTCTAGTGGCTTTTTCATTCAATATTAACCTCTGTTTATGCAACAGGACAAATGCAATGGCAGATTTGATGTTCTGGGCTGGTGAGGAAAAATTGCCCTAAACCGTAGAATTTTAGAACTACATGAGAAAGACCATAACAACCCAAATCTTAAGAGATCCTTGAGATTGATGAATAATCCCTGATTGTCATGCTTTATTTTTTGTTAGGAAAAGAAATATAACTTATTGTTGACCATGTAACATGTTCTTCTGTATATAGCCTAGCCCAATAGCATGACCTGCATGTCAGAATTCTTGTACAATAATGTATTTATCAAAGTATACATTTCTGATATTTAGAGATGTACATTGATTTAGTTTTGGTAAAATATTGTCAATAGAGAGATAATTGCAAACAGCTTTTAGCAAAGGAATTAATATAATATCTGGTGCTGCTGTTATATTAACTACAGTGTTGTACAGAATTTATCATGGATTTTTGACTGCTGAAAAAGGGACAATGGAATTTAGCCATACCAAGGACTGTACTGGAAAGAGACTGCTGCTGCTGAATGGGCCCTGATAAACAACTCACGCTTTGAGGAGGTCACTGAGACTTTACATGCGAAGTAGAGCTTGTTAAAGAAGATTAGAGACTGCTCTTAATTACTGCTGCCAGAGGAAGGGGTGACTAGTCACTGTTGATGAGTCAGCTGTAAATAAAACTTGTGCATGGAATATCAGTTTTTATCTATATCAAAGAAAGCTGAATTCAAGTCATCATTGCTAAAGCTCCATGCAAAGACCCACACCCCTGTGTGTATTCTTCCTGGTTCCTGCAGTTGTGCTGTGGATCATACAAAGACACACACTTAATAATGATAGTGATGTAAACTACATCCGTCTTGACTTCTGTCATAATAATGGTATGTTTTGCAAAGGTCACAAATATGAACAGAGTAGGTTTGCATAAGTCCTTGCTTTCTCAGTTTGCCATGACCTATACTTGTATGAATTCTAGTGTACATGCCAAGTCTTAAGTTTACTTTTCACTTTGATAACAGAAATGTGACTGCAGACAAACATCACCGACTGTTCACAGCACACAGTCTTCTTTCATTGTTACCTCAAACTATAAGTATTATGAGAAATAAAATTCTGGCAGCAAGACTATTTGGTTTTTTTTTTTTTTTTAATTCAAAGTGTTGCAAACCCACCATCAATAAATATAAAAGATGTATTAAAATTATATCCTACAAATGTATATTTTACATAAAAGAGATATTCTTTGATCAGTTACTTTCTGTGATTTTTGTGGTAAATGGATCTAGTCTATTCTATGTTTATGAGGCATTGTAGTGCTACGATGTGGTAATTATGTTCTCTCCATCCTATTCAGTGGGAAATTCTCCAGAATCTGTTTTGTCACCCTGGTGTCCTGATTGTAGGGACCTGTCCCAGTTGTGAAACTCTGTATCGTGGAACTTCTGTGAACATGTCAAGGTGCATGCACAATCCTGGTGGAAACCAGTGGAAATGTAATACCTGAATTGGAGAATAAAAGGCAAAAGACCTGGGGAGGAACTTGGAACATACCTTCTGAAGTGGCTCATGCGCTTTCTTTAGCTGTATCGGTCCCCTGCCTGCCACTGGCCATCCCAATTCTTAAACCAGTTTCCTGGGGTACATGAGGAGCTAATTCAAAAACTAGCATGAGCTGGCTTCTAAAACAATTTAAAATCTTCCTTCTTGTTAATGACCCCACGCCTTGTGTGGAAGTTGTAATTGGGCTAGATATTATCCAACTCAAGGCAGTTTTATTGCATCCTGATGTGAAGTCAACCTAAAAAGGAGGTGATAAATGGTTGCTTGAAAATCCTAATCCAGTACTGTATTTGGGGCAACCAGTGAAATCCCCAAATCCATGAGCAGAATGTCTCAGAGGGGTGAGGGAGCTGGTACAGCTGTACACATGATCTGGGAGGCTGTTACCACAGTATTTTGGAAAAGGTGCTGGAATGTAAGAAAGATTCCAGAAAACAGGATCAAGAGGTGTTCAAGTTTTGGAAAATGTGTTATAGTGATGTACCATGAAAGGTCAATGTGCTGAGTTTGCCCAAATGTTAAAAGTTGTCTGTACTGTGACCTGTGAGCAGTACCCACATGAAGAAGAGGTGTAGTGGTTAGCCAGGACAAGGCTCACAGCCAGCTCCAGACACGCAGGTCTGATGTCTGCCCCCAAGCACCCAGAGAGAGGTGTCTGGCTTTCCTCAGTGCTACACGGGGACGGTGAGGAGCCCTAGATGGGATGCAGACAAGGTGGTGCATTGTGTTGGGCAAGACTGTAGAAAACAGCCAGCCAGATGGTGTCTGACTTCTACTGTTTCTGGGTGGTAAGGAGCTTAAGCCTGGATGGATCTCCACTGACACAGGACCTTGAGTACAGAACATCCTGACTGCAGCTACTTATTTTTCCCCTAGAGAACCAAGCCCATGTTTAAATGCTTTCTTTTAAAACACACCTGGAGGACAAGCTGATGGTGGGTCTGTTAACTATTCGTGTGTCTTGGGACTGCAGCCCAAATCTGACTGTTCTAAGAGGAAGAGTTGGCCTAACCACCAGCCCTCAAAGACTAGCCCCCACCTGTTCTTCCCCTGCTTCTGGGCCCAAGAAGGGGTGAAAGTGCATTTTCATGGGAGGTAGGCCACCAAGGTTTAACTTTCTCAGACTGAGGAAGGCTTTGAACCTAGACTTCACTCTTCAGGGTAATGCAGTTCTTATGTCTCTCATACGAGGTAAAGGATGGGCAGCACATTTACATTCACTTCCCCTTTTGGCCATCCTTTAAAAGTAGGTACAATGATCTTTTGTAAAGGGGGTCCTCACAGTGTGATGCGCTTATGCAGAGCAGATCTACCCAAGCCCCCAGAGGCCTTCAGCCCTGCAGAAGCAAAACTGTACCTGGAGGAAGGAGTTTTGGGTCAGGCAGGAAGATGCTGTGTGAGTGTAGGTATCCTGGGGATCAAATACTCACCAATGGGCAGTTGTGGGCACTTCTGGGCCTGCTTTAAGGGTCCAAAACCTTATTTAATCCTTGTAAAAGTAAGACTCGAGGGTTAGAAGTCAAAACTAGATAAACAAGCACTGAGTTTAGAAGCAATGCATCCATTAAGACAATTTACCAAAGGCTGTTGCTTGTTCGCCTTTTAAAGTTGTAAAATCAAAATGTCAAAAAGAAGCATCTTTTTGAAAAATAAACTAGTGCAACAGCAGGGTTGGTGCAGAGATCAAAAGCTGTGACGTACTGTGGAGATGAGCAGATTATGGGACCTTCAGACTTTGAACGCAGTTACTGTTCTTATGGGGCCTCATTGAGCACTGAGAAAAAGTTGCTGTTCCAGCGAATTTTGAGACACTGTGTTACGAGTGTTATAGGTGTGTACTGTCAACTGGTGCCAGAATTGCAAAGAAGCATGCAGCTAATGATAATTAATATAATGCTGTGTGTCAGGGGGCTTTTTCATGTGTGAAACAATTATGGTTCATAAAAGTTCTCTTACAAAAGGTCTGGATTAAATTAAAAGTGTTAAAAGAGGAGGAAATTTAAGGAAGCCTCTGTTCAGATGGGTTACTGAAAACTGGAGAGGGAAGGGACCAATCTGACATGAGCAAACTTGCCAGCATGGTTAATGTGAAGATACGAATTTTAAAAGTCACGAATGAATTAACTATATGAAAGAGGAGGGCATTTTATCATCAGAACAAATCATGCAGAAGTCAGATAAAGGAAATTGGAATGGAAAACTGCTACTAGAAAGAGAAAATGAATATATTAATATGCTGTATTACAAGCAGTGGCTTGAACGATTCCATAATAGAGTTTTTGAATACTACCTGAGTGAGAAGAAATTACCAAAAAAGCAAAGGTTTCTATCAGGTTAAAGTTATCAGAAATATTAATATTTTTATGATACATTATTTTCCCTTTGGAAATACTTGTTATTTAATTTCTAAAGAGGCAAGTTATTTAAAAAATGGTGGTTTATAAAGTCAAGAGTTGCTTCACGAGCAAATCCTGAGATGTTAGTGTTGGGTACCTAGCTGGTGTGCCATTACCGGCATTTCTCTCCTACTTAACTGAATATCCCTGGGACATGCTGAAATTGCAGAGGTGTCTGATTCCTGGCCCCAGAGACGGGGATCTGTCACTCGCCGGCTCTGAGGGAACGCTGGGCTGTGCTCCAGCCAGGTGTGAGCGATGCAGAGCTCCTGGCTCCACGGCACAGCCTGCGGAAGCATCCTGAGCCGTGGTCTACGTGTGGCTTCTCATTGCCTTCTGGCAAAACATGCATGCTCCCCCCGCCCTCTGCAACCTCCTCCCCAAACCCCAGCCTTCTGTTGCTTGCATTTTTTTTCTCATGAGCATTTTGATGAACAGCTGACAGATTTCAGATTCCTACTTTCACAGCTTCACATTCATAGATGGCAATATTCTAGCATATTTAAAAAAAAGAAATTGGAGGTGGACACTTTTTGAAAATTTGGCACCAAAATGTTATGCATTTCATTTAACATCTGTATTATTTGCAGGCAGAAGACTGGAGACCAGTTTAAAACCAGGGCCACAGCTAGGCTATACTGAAACTTTCAGGATGTGTTCATTTTATATGCTGCATCTGGTTAGAGCATCGCTGCATTTTACTATCACATGAAGCTCTCAGTTTTCTCTCCAAATGGGATTCGGAGATAAGATGCTAGGGCAAGTCAGAGAGGACTATTTTAAGTTAAATGTTTTCTCTATAGAATAGTTGTGACTCCTATAGGACTGTAAACATGAATTGTAATATGAAGAAAAAGATATTGCTTGGGAAATACTGAGGCTGTAATAGATAGCTGTAATCCATCTTTGTCTTGCAGAATGGTACAGGCACCCTTTCTTTAAAACACGGAAAGCAGACGATTTCGTGTTGGCCTCCTCAGAGCAGCATTAGACCTGCGTAAGATAATGAAGTACCAAAAGAAGAAAGTGGAAGTTGTTTCCCTTGACCTTAAGACAGCTTATTTGCAAAAGCAGCAAGATCAGACTTCTTTAAGAAGCTTGGCCTTTGCAGTGAAACAATGCAAAACTCCATCAATCTGAAGAATAGTAAACTGTAACCACGTTATCCTATTAGGCTGATGCTAAATATAGAATGGATTTTCTGTTTCTTACAGGGATTTCCATGCTTTGTGACTAAATGCAGCACCAGGGTTTTATGAAAATTTTATTTTCTTCGTGCCTATGAATGTTGTTGGTACAATGCAGTGTTTGGCACTCTGAAAGTCTTAAAACGATGCCATTGTTTATTGGTACTTTTTGCATTTTGCCAGCATGAAAAATTGGGTTTCTTCTGAACTAGAACACTGGAAAGAGGGGTAGAGGGAGCAATGAAGGACATGGTTTTCTTGAACCCTTACGGAATCTGCCACATGTAACTGTGACCACACAGAAATAAAAATATGAAGCTTTCCTTATGTCAGTTTCTTGACATTGACTGTAACTTTTCCAGTTCTGAAACTCCTCTTCTTAGTTTTGGTTGGAAATCATGGCAACAAAATTTATTTAGTTATTGCTGTTTATAACCTCTACTTAACCCTTGATAAATTTGCTTTAAATCTGTGAATGATGGAGCAATCATAGAGCTTAACAGCACTAGCACTGAGCTCAGAGAAGAACTTATGCACAAACTTGATAGGTTCATCTGGAATTATTGAAGAGTTTTCTCAGTACAGGACATTATCTGAACAAGTTCCCAGCATGAAATGGCCTCAACTGAAATGAATGGCAAAACTGTCCTTGGCTTACTTAAGCAAGACTAGGTCTTGGGAAGCAACTGGTTTGTGTCATGGACATTTCCAGAATATTTATCACCAACATCTTAGTATTCAAACCTATTTCAGCTGGGGAAAAAAAAAAAAAAAAAAAAGTGATTTATCGCGGTGGTCACCGATCCTGGTTTGAGTACAAGTAGTCATAAGGGTATGCAGTCACAGCTTTTATCTGTGCCCCATTCCCCTTTTCTCCATCCTCCACTGGCTGCTGCAGCTGCAGCAGAACAGTCAGTGCGAGTGCTCGGGGCTTCGTGCTGCAGCTGGAAGGTCCAACCTGCCCTCCCTGGTGCAGGGGTGAGGAGGAGAAGGCGACTGTAACCTTCGCACCCAACTCACCTGCAGGGTGCGTGGCAACACTTCTGTTCCCTGCACGCCTCGTGCCTACTCTAAGCAAGCTGCTTGGGTTTCTCCAGAGCTAAAGAAGATGGATCAAGCATGTCCAGAAAGTGATTTTACCCATATCTTCGATACCTCTTTCAGTATGGGTCAAATTCATCTCTGCGAGTGTCTGTTGACAGAAAAAGTAGCCGGATCTGTCTCCCTCCTGGCGCAGGGGCAGAGGCTCAGCGCAGAGGCAACGTGCCCCTGCTACAGTGCCTGCCCCTCCTGGTACTTTGCCCACTCTCGCAGCTGTGTTGTGCCAAGGGTACTTCATGAACATTTCCCCTCCACTGCCCCAGAAATAGTTTCTGTTTCAGCACTTGCGTTCTTCTCAGAAGAGGA